GCCGGATTTTGGTTTGGATTACTCGCTCTTTGGCAAAAAGCTGCAAGGTGCCAGCTCTCAAGATGCTACCTATAAGCCATAAGATTGCATCTTCTCTCTTGAGTTCCTCCAGCTTTTTACTCCTTATTCTCGCCTGAGTAAGTGTCCGCTTCACAAGGACAAAATATGACCAAGCTTGCCTATTCGATGTGACAGAGTGCCCAACAGTACATAGATGCTTGCCTTAGCTTCAGACGGCAGTTTCTCCGTCATTGTCGCGAACCCAAGGTCTACAGCTTTGTTTTGGATCTTCTAAATCGTAAGAATTGAAGCAGTTAGATGAACCGAGAAATCCAGAAACTTTTGGGACAAAACACAGCCGTCAAGTAAGAGATTATTCTCACCAAGCTTGGCCTCAGCTCGGTGGGCAGAGTTGCTATGGGGGTGCATCTCAATCCCACCTAAGCCCATGGGACGTACGGTAAGCTAATCCCACACCCCACCTCCGACGCCAGGGCCAGCATTACGCCTTCCCAGTGCCGCCTGTTCAGCCCGCCGCACCCAGCAAGCAAAGCAACAGCAACGCCAGCCAGCCAGCCAGCCGCAGCCGGCAACTTCCGCCCGTCGACAACCTTCCACCACCGACCGTCCGCCCGCGTTGCCTGTTACCTATCCATCGCCTGCAAGTAAGCTAGCTCCTCCCAACACCATCATCATCACCAATCCGCAACTCCAACACCACAAACCCACCACAATCACAACCAGCGACACCGCGAAACCTGCGAAACCCACGAAAAAAAAACTCTCTAGGAATCCGGTCAATCTTACCCTTCAGTCGACGACAATCGCAATCTCGCACAACCGAGAGGGAGCGCAAGGCATTCCTCAATCCACCACCACCACAAAGACACAGATCCCACACAATGGCCTCAGACGCAAAGCCCCAGGACAAGACCGCCTCCGCCGCGGACCCCAAGGCCGACGAGACGACGCAGCAGCAGGCGGCGGCGGCGAAGAAGCCCGCGCTCGGCGAGGACGACGAATTTGAGGATTTCCCCGTCGACGGTACGTCTCTTTTACCCTTCATTGTCGATAATCTCCTTTCCATAGTGTTTGAAGGAGCATCTGCTGCTTCGGCTTTACTATGATGGGGGAGTGATGATGGCATCACTTGGTCCATCTGTTCCATCGTAACCTCGAGCTACGTTGGAGCGGGATCATCATTCCCGGCCAGCATAGACACGCCACACTATTCTATCTGCTTTGTTTGCGAAGAAAGAAACAAATGCTAACGTATCTACCACAGACTGGCCTCAGGAAGAGACCGAGGCAGCTGCGGGCGGCAGTGGCTCGACGCAGCACCTGTGGGAGGAGAGCTGGGACGACGATGACACGACCGACGACTTCTCGGCGCAGTTGAAGTATGGCAAATCCCCAACCCTTCGAGACCACCTTCCTAATGAGAGTACTGACAACACCACAGGGAAGAGTTGAAGAAGGTCGAGGCATCCAAGAGACGATAAGCCACTCACGGTGTGTGTGTGTGGGGTACGATGATAGGAGGCGGAATGACGCATGGGTGGACTTGGTGGGAATCACGGCATAGACTACACTACGTAACGAGCTCTATACGACTGGCGACATACCAGGAATGAAATCATAACTGGGCACACGAGGTTTTCCAAATTTCCCTTTGGGGTTTCCCGTGGAACGAGATGTGTCTCTACTTTTACTGTTTATTTGATATCGTGACGTTTAATGATCCTAGGACATGACACGAGGGCATTACGTTCATCATGAGCGCCCCTCCTTTTTTCCGGGCATGGGCTTCTGCGTTCGTTGCATTCCCGCACGCGCATTTCTTTCATCCCGAGTCCTAAAGACTGGCCTTACCAGGCCGGCCTTTTCCCATCTATCAGACCGATCAAGTCCATAGAGGTCTCGTTCTCCACTGTACGAGGAATGATTTACTTACTCGACAGAGCAGTGACACCGGGCAGTTCCTTGCCCTCGAGAAGCTCCAAGCTGGCACCACCGCCGGTGGAGACGTGGCTGAGCTTGCTCTCGACACCGTACTTGGCGGCAACGGTGGCCGTGTCACCACCGCCGATGATGACAATCTTGCCGCCCTCGGCAGCGGCGACGGCGGCATCGAGCGTCGACTTGGTGCCGGTGGCAAAGTTGTCAAACTCAAAGACACCAGCGGGGCCGTTCCAGAGGATGGTCTTGGAGTCGTTAATGGCCTGCTTATAGAGCTCAATGGACTTGGGGCCGCAATCGAGACCCATCCAGCCGTCGGGGATGCCGGACTCGTCAGTGGCAGAGCCGACCTTGGCGTCCTTGTCGAACTTGTCGGCGGTGACGTAGTCAACGGGGAGGACGAGCTTGACGTTGTTGGCCTTGGCCTTCTCGACGAGCTTGCCGACGGTCTTGGAGCCGGACTCGTCAAAGAGGGAGTCACCAATGCTGACGTTCTCGAGGGTCTTCTTGAAGGTGAAGGCCATGCCACCGCAGACGATGAGGGTGTTGACCTTGTCCAGCAGGTTGTCGATGAGCTGGATCTTGTCAGAGACCTTGGCGCCACCGAGGATGGCGAGGAAGGGGCGCTGGGGGTTCTCGAGGGCCTTGGCGAAGTACTCGAGCTCCTTCTTCATGAGGAAACCGGAGGCCTTCTGGGGCAGGTCGACACCGACCATGGAGGAGTGGGCGCGGTGAGCAGTGCCAAAGGCGTCGTCTGGTTGGACATGTCAGCTTCTGAGACAAGCCGGGGTTCTCAATGGCAATCAAGAGTCATGGACATACTGATGAAGACATCACCGAGGGCAGTGAGGCCCTTGCGGAACTCCTCAACCTTGGCCTTGTCGGCCTTGGTCTTGTTGCCCTCCTTGTCCTTGGCGGAACCCTCCTCCTCAATGTGGAAGCGCAGGTTCTCGAGGAGGACAACCTGGCCGTCGGTGGCCTTGTTGACGAGATCCTCAACGTCCTTGCCGACGCAGTTGTTGGCGAACTGGACGTTCTTGCCGAGCAGCTTCTCGAGCTCGGGGACGACGGGCTGCAGGCTGTACTTGGGGTTCTCCTGTCCATTGGGACGGCCTAAGTGGGACATCAGGACGACGGCCTTGGCGCCATTGTCGATGGCGTACTTGATGGTGGGGACGGCACCGGCAATACGCTGGTTGTTGGTGATCTTCTTGTCGGCGTCGAGGGGGACGTTGAAGTCGACCTGGGTGAGGGGTCAGCAAGGGAAGTCCGACCTTCCGGCTTAGTGGGCCGTGGCTTTTGAAAGCGTGCCCAGCGTTCCCGGTGTATTCCAATGCCGTCAGAGGAAGCATGTGCAGGGTGGCCGAGTCGAATACCCGCGGCTCGTCCCGTATCGCCAGAACACGGAACGGGTGTGAGGTGATACCCGGGATCAGGCGCGGGTGCGGGTGGCATGGTGGCATGGTGGGGTAATTTGAGCAGCAGCGCAGCGCCGCAGCAGCAACAAAGGCACCACCAACACCAAAACCGTCCCCGGCAAAGTTCAAGGCCAGGACATTAACATGGTAAGAGTGGCACGACTTACGCGAATGAGGACGCGCTTGCCCTTGAGATCGACGTCGGTGATGGAGAGCTTGTTGGCGAGAGACATGATTGCGGTTGTGAGGGGCGCAAATGTGTGAGGATGAAGGGTAGAGTTGAAGGTTGAAGAAGTAGAAAGAGGAAGAAGAAGAGGAGGGGAGGGAATGCGTTGAGGAAGTAGTAAAAGGTCTGAGGTATATTTAGCTAAGGTAGCTACCACACACACACACGCTACTTACCTTGCCCAAGGTGGGATGGCTGGACCTGATGGAGTGATTGAGGGAGGGACCGGACACCACGCCGGACACTTCTAAGAACAGCGCGGGCAGGGGGGTAAAACATGCAGTAATCAGTCAATTCGAGTGGTTCAACACGGGCACCTCACGTTGGGAAGCTTGCAATGGTGGGGTGCTGCTGTTACTGCCAGTCAGTGCCAGTGACTTGGACGCTACTGATACGCAGTAAGGCAGAGCAAGCAGGATGGAAGGAGGGGCATCTTTGCTCGGCGGTTTTTTGCGTAACATTTTTTTTTTCTGTTGGCGGGGTTGATTTTCGGCCCTGCTGCTGCAAGCCTGCAATTACTGTACCTTATCCATGGGTGGTAGATACCCAGATTGGGCGTATCAGTGGGGGGAGCTTTGCTTACCTACCTTACCTTAGGTGCCCTGTCCAGTGCTTTTCCACTAAATCGGCCAGCTGCGACAACGGGGGGGTGCTGGTGCTTGCGGCCTGCCCCGCCATGGGTGTGTGACGTGATGGTAGTCTGATACCTCACAGAAACTGCGCTTTCCTCAACCAATCCCCCGGTCACGGCCGTCCACCCGGGATCAACGGACCGTAGCCAAAATACCTATAGCCCGATACTAGAGACATGACATGGAAGGCAAGGCAAAACACACGGAAAGACTATGCAGCATCTTGGCTATCTTATGGTTCCGTTTCAGACGCTATTGTTGGTACATAGCAGTCCTGACCCGAGGACTGTGCACCACACCTGCTATGGTATTTTATAGCAACAATTTTCAACAGCCAAGGTGACCGGGGTTTGCTCTCAGTGACAAGCTTCAAAATATCACCGAGAGATCCGCCGGTCCAAAATCGGAGCCATCACAACATTCTCAGACCACACCTCCTCCAAAGCATCAGATATCATGAATGAACCGTTTTGCTCAATTTCGTTGCGTTTTACAACTGCTGACTACAAAAGAGAGACGATAAAAAGAGGGCCTTCCTAAATCAATGTCTGCCCCCAAAACACCAGACGCCTGTACCGTCGCAGCAGCCGATGCCGTTAATGCCGTTGCTGTCTTTTTTTTTCTTTATAACGATCGAACATATTCTAAGTACGACTGTGCTTCATTGGTATAACCTTCTCGTATGCTCGCCATGGTGTCGACCAGACCCGTCCCATACCGACCTGCAGACCGAAGATACGAGGAAATCAAGTATAAGTAAGGAATTTAGCTAAGACGAATGTGGTCGTCCTCGCGGGCGCCGGGGCGGTTATCGACCTCGGTAGATGAGTTGGTGAGGGAGAGGTAGGCGGTCCAGGCAATACCGATCGTAGAGACGAAGGGCTACGTAGTGTTAGCATGTGTTCCAAGTGTTTCCCGTTCAGCTTTTCAAACTTGCCAGTTGGAACTGCATGGGCATCAGGCGGAAGTTGACAACCTGCACGGCAGGCCAGACGATGAAGTTTGCCTTCAACGTGGGAATGTACATGTCGCGCAGCTTGCTCATAACGGCACGGCGTCCACCGCCCTCCGCGACAGTCATGACAGAGAAGAAGCAGAGCAGACCAAAGGGGGCAAAGATGAGCTGATCAAAGGCGACTCTCTGCATGGCAGGGACGAAGGCGCTGGTCTTGGTGATGGGGAAAGTGGCCGACAGGAACTTGAACCAGCGGAACTGGAGGGGCGCCATGCCGAAACCGTAGGCCATGAAGCGAGTCAGGCGCTCGAAGTCGAATGGGGGAGGCAGGCTGCTGATGTTGGGAATGAGGTCCTTCTCGTAGAAAGGGTTCTTGCGGTCGAGGTCGTGGATTTCGATCGCGATGCCATCGTCCTTGTCGACGCCGCCGGGCTTACGGACGGCCTTCAGGCGAAGGGCGGTTACTGTCTGGGCGGTCGTATCGGCGATGCCACCGAGGATGGCGTTGGTCACCATCATGGTGAGCACTGTTGCGACAATAGAGTCAGTATGGATGATAGATTGTACTGTGGCGAACTCTGGATGTGGGAGCCTTGGAGGCACGTACGTGGCCGTTCATCGTAGTATTGGTTGAACTTGGACACCAACCGGGCGACGAGCGCCATTTCGATAAGAATGATGATTGCGTGAAGCAGTGGCTAACAGTAGGTTCGTAGGTCAGCGCAAAGTTGACTTAATCAGGTGCGGCGCGATAGGCGTAGATGCAAGAGATGCAGCGATAGGAGACAGCGCAAGCGCAAGTGGTAGTACGGAGGTGGCGGACGGGAAAGCAAGACAGCCAAGCAAGGATTCAGATTCAACCGGGTGAGGAATGTTCTAGGAGCAACACGAAAAGCAACGAATGGAGCAGGCAGGTAGGTACGACAGTGCTATGGAAGGGGTTGGCATACGAGGCGTCCATAAATGTATTTGCTGTTGACAGCTCGGACAATGCGACGGCGAGAGAGTTCCCACGACATGGTGACGGATTACGCAGAGGAGGCGCCCGGGGTGGGAAAGAAGTTCTAGAAGAAGGAAATGATAAAAAAGAATAATATGAGAGAAGGAGGCGGCGACCGGGCGGTGGTTCGGTTCTGTTGGTTTGTGCTTTTGGCTTCGGGTTGGGGGAGCCGGATCGATAAGGTGCGCCGCTATCGATTCGTTTATTGCCTCTCAGAAGTGAGGTAACGATTTGGCAAGCAAATTGACAGGCGATGGGAGGGATGAAAAATATGGTCGAGGGTGACGAGGACCCTCGGATGTGCTTTCTGCAGGCGGAGGCTTCGAAAGGCTGGGTACGGGAAGTGACGAGTGACGAATGACGACACCGTAGCGAGAAAAGGGTACTGATGTGCTTCGTTGTGGCGCACGGGAGGCGGATGATTGGCCGGTATCGCTGGTTTGGGTGATTTGGGGGAAGGCGACGGAGGTTTTGTTCCCGCTGATCTGACAGAAAGCAGAAAGACGGTTGACCGGGAGAGTCGGGGAGGCGAGACCGATGAAGCAGAGCGATGAAGAAGAAGGATCTTCAAACTTGGCGAGAGTAATGTAGGACGGATGCGACGGGGGTTATAATTAGGAGAGGACAGACCAGCGCAGGAAATGGGAGGGACAGGATCTAAAAGAAATGGAGCAATGCAATGGCAGGCACGGCAGGTCATGAAGCGCGCTGCAACCGAGAAAGATTGATCCTGGTTGTTTTTTGCCTCGCTCGAGTGGTAAAGAAGAGGCGGGAATAAGACGATGGAATGGTGCTGCAGGTTTGCTGCTTTGCGTGCTTCAAAGCAATGGAACTTTAAAAGATACCACCGACAAGTATCTTCCTGTCCTCTACCTTACCTTACTGCGGTAGGTATGTCCGTCCACGAAAGGAAGGTGAGGCATCAGCAGAGCTCTTTCCTCCCTCCTGTCTGCGAAATCATTGGCGGATAGTCGGCCCAAGCCACACCTTCCTCAGGATTAACACTGTGTCACTGGCGCCTTCCGCTTCCCCACAGATCACCATCAGGCAGAACCTCAACCACCCAGGCTGGCTAAAAATGGATCTTGGCCGGTCTTGACCAGTTGGTCTCAAGGCTCAAGTTTGGACAGAAACATGGGGCAGACAACGACACTGCGGATGGACAGCGGGCCTCAAGAGCTCCCGACCCTACCGAAGCCGTACCCCTCCGTATGCCGCACGGTGCACTTACCAGCCTACGCCCCCACCATCCTTCCCGCATCCTCCTGGGTCCTCTCACCGTTCAATGCCCATTCAAGGTCGCTCACCACCTCACCTCACTCACTCACTCACTTACACCGACCCTCACAACCTCATTCCTCAGACCAACAGTGTTATGTATTCATCCAAACAACAACCTCATGTGTGAGGCACCTTAGTCAGATGGAACAGCACACACCCCCATCCACAAACTTCATCTGTTTCTTCAAACCGACCGACACCCTGCACAGAAACCCCAAACACGACTTTTGCTCTCCTGATCAATGCTCCCGTTTCATACACGCGTACATTCGTGGGGTAACCGCTGTTTTCCACTCCCATCGCATGGCTAGTGACGTACCAGGGTGAAGCTTCTTTATTCACCACTTACTTTCCAACTTAGTACCAGCTTGTCGTGTTTGTGTGCTTGTCAAGCTTTTTCGTTCAAGACCTCCTGTAGAACGGACCGGCGTGTGAACAAGTCACTTGCCTTCTCAACAATCTCATGTGTCCAGAGGCTATGACTATGACGCCCTCCCGCCTCGCGCCCAATCGAAATAGAGTTACGGAACGGCGCTGCAGTGAAAGCATGAGCTTGTTAAACATAGGGGTCCTGCCTAGCAGGATGAACCCTGACCATCTTACCTGATCGCGGCATACCACTTTGTTTAATCTGTCACATTTTGTTTCCCAACGCCTCCCTCCTGCTTAATCTCTCGAGAATAATGGTTGAAAAGTATGAAGAGATGAAGACACCCTTCGACTGAGTCGGGGCATTCACCGTGTCAATGCTACCATCTACAAGCTGCCGGCCGCCGGCAACGTCAACACCATCGCAACATACTTCCCGGACAGATACCTCCCTTTTCCGCAACCTGATGCAGCTCGCTTCTCGGGAGCCGGGTAATTGCTGTGAGGTTGAACAGTAGAAAAAAGGGGCTCGCAACTGGTGGATGTGCTAAGTGTTTGAGGGGCACTTTCCATGAAGCCCACTTCAGTCTTTTGCTGTAGCTATCACAATCAAAAGTCACATCAAGTCAAGCATTACCAGTAACAGCAGACTGGCCAGTAAGCTGAGAACAGGAGCAAAAGCATACGGAAGAGAATACTTTCACAGCCTTGTTCACTCAAAGCAGTTAGCACTGACGAGTCAAGTGAGACTTGAGACCATCCCAAGAGCCAATTCAAGTTGAATTCCGTAACCTTCGGGTATTTTTGAATTATCATTAGTATCGAAACTATTCTGTTTCAAGCAGCAGTTCATATCCCCCTGCCACTTGCGACTACTGCTCTTGTGCCCATGCTCAACGGCGCTATCCGAAGTCCGGACCGCAGCTCTTCAGACTTCAACCTAGACCTCCCTGTTCTCAGTGCGACGCACCGGCCTACTTTTCCAAGTAGACATTGACAGACGAGCGCGAGTATCCAAACGTCTTGGGCCACTGGCTGTAATCCGGCTCGAACAAGACGGCGTCGTTGCAGTCACTTCCCAAGCTCGTGTTGTTCAACCACGCTATCAAAAGAGTCAGCATCTCAGTTCACAACCAGTAAACAGAAAAGAGTAGTGCTCACCAGGCTCCCAGTACCAAACACCCTGTCCAAGACCCTTGGGCGTCTCCCTCACAGTCTTGAGCAGCTTCTTCATCCACTGCACCTGACCATCAACATTGTACGGGATACTCGGCTCCGACGACTCGGGGATCGGGTTCCACTGCCCGTTGCAGATGGCAGGGTAATCCGTCTCGACGACCTGCATCGGCTTGCCGTACTTCTCTCCGAGCACCTTGAGCGTGTTCTTGAGGTTCGCAAACGTCGCCGACGTGCCGTAGAACGGGTAAAAGCTAAACCCGAAGCTGTCCCACGCCGACAGCGGCACCCCGTTGTCGACGAGCGCGCCGTACCACCGCTCCTGCAGCGTCAGGTTCCAGCCGTTGTCGAGGTGGATCATGACCTCGGGCTTGGGCACGCCCGCGCACGTCGCGTCTTTCACGCCCGCCCGCGCGGCCTTGTAGAGCGTCGCAAAGTTGGTAAAGTTCTTGACCAGCGCCGACCACGGCTGCACGTCGACGTTCACCTGACCCAGAGGCCACAGCGTGCCGTGGCGGAGCTCGTTGCCTAATGACACAATATCCAGCGTCACGCCGGCGTCCTTGAAGGCGACGAGCGTCTCGCGGACGTAGTTGCGCAGCGTGCCGGCCAGGGGCTCCAGCTGCGTCGGCCACGCCGCGGGCAGCGGCTGCTTCTGCGGGTCGGCCCAGCTGTCGGCGAAGTGGAAGTCCAAGAAGATGCGCTGGCCCTTGGCCTGGAAGCGCTTGGCCAGGTCGATGGTGTAGTTGAGGCCGTAGGTGCCGTCGGGCGGGTTCACCCACAGGCGGAGGCGGACGGCGTTCATACCGCCGTCGGCGAGGATGTCGTCGGCCGGGCGAGTCGCGTTGCCGCGCGCCGTGTCAATGTAGATGTTTTGGTTCTCCTCGAGCATCTTGAGAGAGCTCAGGTCGTGGCCTTTGTAGAAAAAGGGCTTGCCGTGACCGGGGCCGGGGCTGTTTGCGTTTCTTCTTGTTAGCCTCCTGTTATCATTGTTCCAGTGCCTAGGTGTGTGTTTTCGGTGTAAGTGATGAAATTAAGTGGTGAGAACGTACTTGACGGGCTCCGGGGCCGGAACAGCCGTGGCCAGAGCCGTGAGGCTGAGGAGAGAGAGCAACTTCATGATGAGATGATATCACAGCGGTTGAGACACACAAAGAGCCAATTCTCCAGCCCTTCCCTCGACGACGCAACAGCCGTGTTATATATCAATCGCAACAACCCCCTCACCGCCCACCGGGCTAGGCATCAGGTCGAACCATGATTTCACCACTCTGGCAAGGGTTCAAAATAAACGCAAGCGAGCTGTCAGTCGTTACGGGTCTCGGCAATCTCTGTGTTTTTCCTTTCTCTTCTCGGGCCAATGTGACCATTCGACGGAAGATTTCCAAAGGGCAGAAGCACTCAAGACGGCAGGCAAAGCAGCAGCTGACAGAATGGAGACGGCCCGAACTGCGGGGACTCATCGCGGGGTTACCGGGGGAGACCCCAGACTCGGCACGCTGACGATTGGTGCGCCTGCGCGAGCTGGAGGTGGTGGGCCCCTGCTCGCCCGCAATTTTCGGATATTGTGCCTCCAACGAGTTACAGTAGCAACAATAGCTTCGTTGGTCTGGCTGGGGGTGCCAAGTTCCAGCAGTCTGGGCCTCGACGTGGGTGGCCGTTGGCATCATCAGGTGACGGGGGCGGGGATGAAGCTTCGAGAAAAACATATGGGAATTGGGGGGCCCAGCCAACGTGCCAGCCTCTCCCAGACCTTGAACCAATCCTTTCACGGCCCTCTCGGAACTCTCAACCGAGGTTTATCACGTCGAAGCTCCGGATATTGATATAGCCTTGATAATTACGTTCCATTTGTGGTTAAGCTTAACCATCGGCTAAGACGCGGGTCCAGTCGAACTTCCTCCATTTCTTCTTGAAACCCTCGACTCTCCGGTCACCCTTGTTCCACCGTCCTTGTTTCTTGATCACGTCCGGGCCGACGTCTAGGATGCCCCCGATTATCTCCCTTGCAAAAAGGTCTCCTCTCGGCCAGCGGTCAGAGTTCTCGACAATGTGCCCGAGGCCGCCGTCGAGCGTGAACCACGCGTGGAAGTAGGGCATTTCTTTTGCGATGCTCCTCCGGAACGCCATCCTGCCCATGCCATCTCTTGCCTTGGCGGCCGTGTCAATGATCTTCCGGTGCTGCGACCACTC